GCAACTAGAATGATACCGACCCTGCGAAGCTTCCATATGAAAAACGGTGTGAAGGGCTCGGACTCTACACACTATCCTATCGCCGAGTAAGAATTGATCTTATTATGACCCATCGGGTACTACACTTGAATCACTTCCCCATATTGCGGCCAATATTTCACCTGCGGGAACCCTGTAACACCCGAGGACATCGTTACAAACTCATGGTCCCCGGCATGAACAAAGTATCACATCAGCTTTGTATCGAAAGCAGAATCATAAACTTATGGAATACACTACCTGAAGGATTAATAGAGGCCGATTCTGTGAAGTGTTTTAAAACCCGTATCGTCGATTATTTTGGAGACTTGTGCTTTTGTGAGACGATGCACATACAGTGCCAAAAGAAGACATTGTATTCCCGGAACTAATGACATAATACAAATTTCTAACCGAACAAGGATAAACGATTAACGGATCAGACACAACTGCTGATAATTCAAAAGTAAATTTTGATTTTTTCGTAATTCGATAGAGTTGTACAGAAACCTTTTTACTTGCTCTTAAATACAGTATCAGTATCAGATAGGAATGAGATGATGATGTCCCAGAGTGCAACAAAGGACAAACACACTTGACCTTGGAGTGCCATCTAACTTCTGTATGCAAAAGTTGAACCTGGATACCTTTACTGTTCTCTTCACACAACTGCTGGAAAAGGCGATCTTGAAAAGGGTGCTGATTGGTCTTGTTAACTACTATTCTAAATATTGACAGTGGATCATTTAAGCGCCATCCCACGTCCATAGCCACTAGGTGCTCTCAGGGAATCACACGGTGAAGTGTATGAGCAGAAGAGAGAACACCTTTTAGCTAGGCATTGAATCCTCTATATCTTCCGACCATTGCGGTAGCACCACCTGGTGCACTTGCAACTATGTTTTGCATTCTGATGGAGTTTCCAGGCAGATAGCCATTGATTACCTCGAATATAGATTGATCCTTTGTATACGTTTTAGATATCCTGGCAGGCAGCATCTCTTCTGTTATTGCATTATGATTGTAGAATCTAACATATGCCGCGAGAAAAGCATTCTTATCAGGTAAAATAGAGTAATCTACGTGGCAATTTTCTGGACTGTAGTAAGGTAATTAAGGTACTTTGTATGTCCTGAACCATCTCATATATTCGCCTAGATACCGTTGACTTGTTGAGCGTAATGGCTTTAACCGTTTCTTGTGGATTCATGTACATCTGGTCAGACAGTATTATTGATACTAAAGGCAAGCTAATATTTTTTATCCAACATTATATGAACTGCAATTCTTAGCAATTAATTCGCTGATTTTATAAGATGCCGTAAGTCCATTTGCCATTTCCGCCCTGTCAGCAACTATTGTCATTAAAGTTAGTATGTTTTCGAATCTATCCCGCAGCTTTATAAAATAATCCACAGACTTTCTGCTTCCGCCCTTATCAATACTTCATAAATGATTTTCCAGCTTCTATGGTCGCATACTTCATTTGAAAGAGTGTTTTGGCAAATTAAACACATAGGTAGGGTGGGGTTTTGTAGTGACGCGATAAATCCAAATGACACGTATTCCACGGAGTACTGCGGAAACTTATTCGTTGCCGAGGAGATCAGTTCTGAAATATGTCATTGTAAATTGTTAATATGTAATATGCGGATGCTGTTTTTGTTTTACTATTCATACACAGTTATATCATGTGCATTAAATCACATCATTCGACAAGGTGAAACACGCAGATAGTATGTACACTTGATTTCAATAAAAAAATTTCTTGCTTGACCGTGAGGTTATAAGAAAAGATATTTGGCAAGCAGACTTGTAATATCTGTTGATGGCTACAATGTTCAAATGCATACGTGTAGAAACACTGTTAGAGGCCACCCAAAGACGCTTTCTGAGGATGGCTTTTAAAATACCGTGGATGGCTAAAATGACTGATGAAAGATTCTTGACAAAAGCCAATGAAGAAAAGAACTGGAACAGAAAATGACAATACTCACTAGACACACATACATTACAGGAAAGTTGCAGCAAGCCGCGGAAACATGTAAATTGAAGGACAGCAGAGACAAACATGTAAGAAAATGCTGGATAGTTCAAGGAACCAGCATGGGGGTGTCAACAACGAAGCGAATAACGTACATCAGCAACTGACAAACATGGCGCCAACTGCGTGCTGGCAAGGCATTTGATTATTATAATTATAAGGAGAAGCGTCCTTATGTACACATTATGTTATTTATACTCATCAAAGCCACCGGATATCCTATCGTAAGATAGTTCTACACATGTGCAGAGTAGCCACTCGAATTCGGAAACTTGCGTGTTAACGTGGCAGCTGCCAGACACACGCGCGAGCTGAGACGGTAATGTTTCACCACTTTAAATGTCAGTTAAAGGTGTTTTCACACCAATAATTTTATAAAACCCCTTCTTTATCACCATTAGAAACACAGACTGGTGGAAAACTGCCGGCTGAGACTAGAGACCGCAGTGAGACCGAACGAGGAGGGCTGACTTGCACATGAGTGTCACACAGTGGTATTGTCCTAAGGAAAACTCAGTTAGGGTCAGTGTGGCTTTGTGCCGTAACTGCCGTAGTTTACTGACGAGAGTTCGCTAGGTTCACTTCGGCTTGCATAATAGATGCATCAGTGTTCACAGTAAAGCTCAGTTGGTCCACTGTGGATAGGCTTCAATTTGGTGGGTACGTATTGGATGTTAGTCGCGCAGTCTAAGTCTCCGTGTGGTGATTGCGTAAGGTGAGCCTGTGCAAATTTACTGAGGCTATTCCGGCTCCGCAACAGGAAGTCGGCTCAGCCTGGCTTACACACCTTCGTCGACAAGCACGTGCGCGCGCGTAGTTCATTTCACTGACCTGTAGTTTCCAGCGAGGATTAGGGCGCGGAGAGAAACTATTAGAAACTGATACTTAAATGAATTTTATTTGTTATCTCAACCGACCTTTCATAACACGGCCCCCATGGCTTCCCTAAAAATTTTTCTCATCCCTGCGCCCCCCGGGAATTCCCTATGGCCCCGTTGAGAATGACTGCTCTAGATCATGAGCGTAGGCTTCTTCGTCGCCAGATGCCGGCAATGTGTGCACGCGATAACGAAAGTAGTATTTTCGCTATTATCTATGACAGTCCTTCCAATTATTTTTGTCCGTCTAACGTTCGCTCCAACTAGTGCAGAGTTGCACTGGATGACGTGTATTACTGAGCCACTCGGATGGTAGACAGTCTTATGCCTGTATAGGACAAGAGGTAACACTATGTCAGACTGTTTCTTCATTCAGCACTTCAATACTTGCGCTTAATACCTGCGGCGTTGTTGACATGACAGAGTAACTTAACCGAGTGATAACAACTAATCTCATCTTCCAGTATTTCTATCCCTATTGATGGATGCAAGTTATTTGCACAGACTTGGGTCGCCATTACAAAGGAATCTGTACTACACGACGCAGTACCTGCTCCGGTTTCTTTCGCCTTTTAGATCAATAGGTCACGAAGTTAAGTGGCAAAGATTGGCACAATATAACCCACTCCAACGGTGTATTTCAGAGCCACATTGACCTTTGCCATTTGAATTGACCACCAAGGTTCATGCATGAGCATTCGGATGTTACTTCCCGGAATTAGGAAAATGGAAATATACGGTGTCTTAGGAAAAGGCCTGAAGATGGCAGTTACGTGATACGAAGAGTTTGATTTGGCAGTATTTATGGGTAAATATTCTGCTCTTAAACATACTGTTTACTGCGCATGGATGTTCAGTTCGGAATCTTCATCTACACCGAAGGATTGTATGGTTTCTTAGTTGAGGCAAGTGTATGTATTGCTTAACTTTCAAGCTAACATTGCGCATGAAAATTTGCAACTTTGGTTTTACACAGATGTAGTAGGTAGAGAAAAGACAGTTAACCTTGTACTTATTGTTCCGATATTAAATATGATAACATCTTCCACCACTCAATTGAATTTAAGTCATATAAAGTTTGATGTCTCATTCTCTCATGTTGTTTTCTCTTCGGTTCAATTATTACAGCAGCCGAAACAGCCCAACCCTCAGTCGCAATGAATCCCATGTCGGGGAGTTTGTTGAGGGCCTGGGACCTGGTCAGCTTGTTGGTAGGCAAGTCCTCGGCATGCCATGCTTAGGCGAAATTCAGTTGAGCTTTTTCGATCGAAAGGGACGTTTGGAAATAGAGGTCATCCGTGCTCGTGGTTTGCAACACAAAAACGCCAATAAACCAATACCCGCACCGTACGTGAAACTGCATTTGTTGGAGGGCAAAATCTCAGTGGAAAAGCTGCGCACAACCACTGCACCTCGGCGGACCTTGGATCCACTCTACCAGCAACAGCTAGCGTTCTCTACGCCCTATCACGGAAAAGTCATACAGGTTTGTTCCAACGTGAACGTGAACTGAAAACATCTCATTGCAAAATCGTTTGGGGTAACGTCCATATTTATGCATACTAAACGGTAAAGGAATTCGGTTGTGCTGTCTGAAGGAAACAAAAGAAGACTTCCCAGTTGTCCAAAACGCCACATACAGTCCCAAACTTCAAACAGATTAAAAATAGGTTTAGTTACGAGTAGAGTTATATTTTCACCGCATTTTCTGGCCGACTAAATCAACTATAAGTTGTGTGCGAATATCCATGGATGATTAACAAGCAGGTTAAAGGGTGGATGAAACACGGCTTGGTGATAAGGCAAGGTTGCCAAACTGAAGGCCGAAGTGGATTGTTAGCTAGATTAGAAAACACTGGCATTTGTAGTTGTTTAGTTTTAATTCACGGCAACATTTGCTTCAAAAATGATGTTATAGAACGATGAAACGTTGGAAGTATTTTATTCGTTGCTTATTGCAAACTGGACGTTGGCATCACCATAAACTCTTCCTGGCAAATGTTGTTTTTGATAGCCGAGTTCCCGTCACTTACATAATCAGATTTGTATATACAAGTGACGAATTAATGGAGTAACTGTGTCTAAGAGAAAAATCATTATGTTTCTCGACGTGCTATTACTTTACCGTTTATCCTTAAAGACAATTGTTTCATGTCTTTTACAAATAGGTAAGCGTATGGGGAGAATATGGCCGAATGGACAAAAAGGTTTTCCTTGGAATGTGCGAGGTGGTTCTGGACGATCTCGACCTGAAATCCGTTGTGTTCGGATGGTACAAATTGTTTGGGATAATCGCTTCTAACGCCCATCATCGTCATCAATCAAGGAACCTTCACCAGAGTCACAGTGGTCTGTCGGTGCCAGATGCGGAGTTTAACAGTGATATCGCAAAAAAGGAGAGTCGGTCAACATTATCAAAAGGAAAAGCCTCCTCGTTCATTGATCGGAGACGAAAGCGAACTACTGTTGAAAAATGAGTGCACGGAAGCTAGGATACATTGCTAGGCCAATCCTTACGGGACGTATCAAGCACTTGATTTTATCCCGTGATAAATCATTGTTCATTGTTCATCGATTTGGACGATGGAACAAGCGTTTGGATTGCGCAATGGTTTCCCAGCCTCCAATGCGTTAAGTTAGCCTCGGTGCTACGGAGTTGGAGCATTCGCTGTAGAACCAGGGAGCGTTAGGTAAATTTGTATTTGTCTTTCAATCGGTCGATTAGATAAGCATCAAGAAAGTCAACGCAGATACGATACATATTCTCCACCTGAACTCCTCCAACATCTGCTTGCCAAATTGTCCGTTGTATGTTCAAATGTACAGTAACTGCTTCTCTTTCTATACAGTTTCTCAAGTCTTTCATCTCTACCATCCGGATATGTTAGTTGGTGCTTTTGCGCCCCACTTATATCGATTCCAGTCCGCTCATTCTAGTTCATCTGTAAAGGATCGCTGCGGTACATTCATTTACTCAAATAGGCTATGGGGCCCAGCCAGCTTATCGAATTCGACTCTGGCCAACAAATTAGCGGACCAAATACCCTATTGCTATACTTTTTATTCCTCTGGGAATAGTCTATGTCGCTCCATTCCATCTTTGCCCTTAGGACCAAGTGGTTTCATGTCTCTTTCATTCATTATAACTTACTGAGGTCCGACTTGATTTTCATGGAACTATCTCCATTCTCACAAGTGCCAAGCTCCAAAGGAATATGTCATTCGGACAGACTATTTGGACACAATATGCCGACATACCACAACTGGGATTCCTAACTTTCATATATATTCACATTACGGGGCGCATGTAAATATCAAGAATTGACCAAGAATTTTTAACGAAGCTGTCTTTTTTTCTTAAAGGCTTCCACATGTGGACAGTTAGGTAATACAAACGCTCGTTCTTACTACAAACGTTCCTCGCCCATACAGCGGCACATTACAACAACCTACGAAGGAGCAAAGATTGCGATTTTACTGAAAAACCCAGCTAGAACTAGACCGCATCATGTATGTAGTATCTCATATTCCCATCTAATTCAGGTCTGCGAGGAATCCGTGGAATTAGGGGGAACGTCGGATAGTAGCATCAAGCGATGGAACAATGGTTTGTGGCGGGTAGGTTAGCAATGGAAGGATTAAACAATTTGAATACTACACAGGTGGATCAAATGATATTAGATGCGTAGTGGTGAAGCGATAGAAAAATAGTAAATAGAAGTAGGGTTGCGTGGGTAAGATGGTGCCATGCAAAATGGAATAATAACTGGTTGTGGTTAATACGTATTGCAAATAACAATTGGACTGCCCACTTGCCTACACAGAGTTACTTGCCTCACTGTGGGCTATAATTGCAATAAAACTGGTTGGCCTGAATATATCACGAGAATATCTGTTCATGTAAAGAAAATGTAGGGGGCTTGATGATAGATCCAACCGTTTTTCGAAAATGGAAAAATTATGCGAACGGAACTGTGTTTGGAAATACACTCCAGGGTTGGCGAGCCCAGAGGCAAGAGCAAATTCTTCGAGCGATTAAACAATTGTATTGTTTACTCAGTTAAAGGCTATTGCCTCTCCCTTTGATGTTCAGCCTGAGTTTCGCTAGGTTCCTGCATGCATGCTGTGGGTCGCTGAGTATTTATTAGTCTAATATAAATGTTTCCGCGTAGCCGCACGTAGAATCTACTGAACCCTTCATCTTCAGTCCTTTTTAGTACAGAAGGTGGCGCAAACCCTTGATATTATTCATTGCTTCATTTTTGTGGGGTCTCGAGCGCTGCGAGCTCACAATTTAGCCGACGTTTCCATGCCTAGATCTTGTGTTGGAGGTGGGGGGTTACGCTAGAATAGAATGTCAGAGAGAAGATGGATGAATTCAAACACACGAATGTCCTCCGCATGAGACCAATATGCCGGTTGCTTCGTGTTGAAGGAGACTTGGACTGTCTAAGACAAACGAGATCGTCATGCACTAGCACACTGAGGTCACTTCCCTGAGTGATGGTCTTCAGTTGGTGCGCTCCAAGTCTGTAGATGGAGATGAATCGATGGCGGATATAAAGAACTCCGCTAGCGTCCACGTTGAATTGCAGCGCTTTCCTCACCGACCGAATACCAATCTCCACCTAAGTCACACTGGTCGATCTGGTGTTCGTCTAACGCACTGATTGCCGACCAAACCCTAATGTCGTCATCGAAGAGTACAATGTTAAGGTGGTAACTCTCGATAGAATTTTATTGAAAACGGAGAACTAGCGCGGCCCAAGTATCAAACCCTGTGGTGCCCCAGATCCCACTCCGAACAAGTAGAACAAAGATTATTGTAACCTAACCACGAATCGCCTTCGGCGGAGTAAGTTACCGATCCAACCCAATACTGCAGCACCGACTTCATAGTGCTATGATTTGTGAGGCGGGTACCATAATAGGACCGATCGAACGCTTTTGAAAGTCCAAGTAGACGACATCGATTGCTGTCCCCTCGTCGACTGCTGCAGTCCAATTGTCGCTTGCCGTCAACAAATTATTGGCACATGATCGATGTTGATGCAATCCGTGCTGCTCCGACGCGATGATGAAATAGCTTTCCAAACAGTCCATCAATGTATCAGCGATGATCGATTCCATGACATTGGCGAGCAAATGGAGAAGCGTTACCTTGCTGTAAACAGCTGGCTCAAATCTACTTGTTTCCTTTTGGATGACAGTAATACTACCCCTTTGCAACTATGATGGAACTATATTCTCCTCTAAACAACGCTGAAAGTATCCAGCAATTGGTTGGGCTAGGTGCACGCCTATTACGTTTGGGGCTTTCTCGTGTATGTTATGCGCTTCAGAAGAGCTGTGTGTACACAAAAATAGCAGGTTTCTCATCACGGTTTCTGAATAAAACTGATGGTGTGATAGAAAGAGAAATAGCCTTCGAGCCCTATACCCCTGGGAAAGTAGATGAGAACTAGACCCGTAGTGCGCTACCTGTCTCTTTTGCTATATGTGTATGCGCACTAACCGGAGTGAGCGATTGGATTTCGTGCCGCACGTTTCGAAATCTATAGACATGTTCGTAAGGGCACATGCGGTTAGAACAGAATGGTCTCACCAACTCCTGTTGGTGCGTTATCCAGTCTTTACGAATTAGCTGCACAGCGTAGCAGCGTTGAACTATGTGTACTGTCCAAGTGAAGAGCTGAGATTGCTTATACAAACGCGCCATGTATTTTCTTGTTAGGCTTCTCAATACTCATTGAGCTTGAGGGGACGATGAAAAGATTTTAGCTCTGATTTATCTGCGATCAGTGACTTATAAGTTTCTAAGAATGTCTTCAGGGCTATCTCTGGAATGCACTTAGTCATGAGTAAGCAAATGTCATTTATAATGAAGCTGGACAATACGTGGTAATGCATGATAGATGGGAATAATTGAACTATAACGTAATACAGATAAAAATAATGAAGGCTTGACAAGTGCCATGTGATGGCCTGTATGAATTAAATGAGTTTAAAAATGTTACAGAGTGAGACGCGCATCTGTGGGCTCACCCTATTCTCCACGTTAAAACAAAAGTATGTCCATCTACCCCGATTGCGTGGGAGTTGGTGCGCACAATGTTTGTCTGCATCTTGTCATCACTCAAGGAACAGAAATACAACTAAGTAATGAAGGTGGTCTAACGCACCGTCTAGTCCGTGTTTTATAAAGAGTACCTTGGGCCCAGAAATGGCAGAGGTCGAATGAGCGTTCCACAGTTGACAACTTTGTAGGGAACTATAGTTCCGGCGGTATTCCGGGCGACTGTATTGGGTGGGCGGTGTCAGCCTATCAACCCTCAAGTTTGTGTTGTGGCTAAGTTTCAGGGGGTGGCGGCAAGCCTGACTGGGCTTTTTAATTCCAGCACGCCAGAATGTGTTCTCCTTGTAAACGGTGATATCTTCCGTTGTACAATTGTAGGGATTTCAGTCGCAGGTGGTATAGCACCTAGAACAATTTATTCAAATTTTTACTTGTTCTTCGCTGTGAGGTGTCCAGTGCAACCAGATCGCGTTTTAACCAGGTTTGCTAGACTTGGATAGCATACCTTATGTGGAGCCTCACATACACATGGGGCATTTCGGGAACGATAGAGTGGTCGAACCTACCGACCCAAAGAGGACAAAATGTTGGTTCGCGGTTTCTGATGCTTTCAAAGAACGTGCGGAGGAGAGGATTTCTTCTCGCATCACCACTCCAAGGCCGAGCTCCTGTAAGGCGGTCTCCAGTCGTATGCGTTAGTGGGTTCGTGGCGAACATACATAGTCGTTCACTTGTCCGCTTTAAACGGAATTATATTTCTTCTTGGCCTTTCAACGGCGCAGTCTAATTCTCCTTGCAGCATAAAATGTTGTTCCCGACCACCGATCGCTCAGCATATCTTGAAGCCATGGGCAAAAAGCGGAAAATTCGTCTCTGTAACACGCGCGTGGTAATTAATGAAGAAAAACAATAAGGGCGATCCCAACACCGACCCTTGTAGAGCACTGCAGTCCACATTCTTCGGGCCATAAAATGGGCCCCGAACTCGAACCTGAAGACGCTGCTGAAGGAGGAAATTTCCGACCCATTCAAGGAGATGATTCGCAATTCTGAACGTTTGTAGCTTTTGGAGAAGTCTGCCATGGCCTAATCGGTTGAAGCTTTTTGAACAGTCGAGGTAGATGACAAGTGTGCCAGCCCCACTGTCAGCTATTGCGGTTCAACTGCCATGCACAATCAGTAGACTGGTAGTGCGTGATCGATATTGATGGAATCAGTATTGCTCCGGTGCAATGCTCTCATACCTTTCATGGTAGCCCATTAGTGTCTCAACTATGATCAACTCCATCACCTTCGTGAGCACAGGGAGGAAGATCACTTAGTGAGATTTGGCAGGCTTACAATCCAAGGAATTAAGTGTTGAAGAAATAATGAGTGGCTCCTAGTGGACTCGCGGTATGTGCAGAGATGCGGGAGCCTAGGTCCACCC